TGCTCATGCTGACTGAAACCTTTTAGAAATCTCCAAAACGTTACGGGCGGTCCAAACACCGCTGCGATAACTAAATCGTTATAAAATTGCTCGAGCCGTACAGGAGTAACATATATTATTATCTCTACACTACATAATGCACAATTTTTAATTTTTAATATAATGGATCAATTTTATAATTTCTTCACAATTGAAATATTCGCCTTCTTCGCGACAGCGAATTTTCACCGTTTTATGCATAAAATTGTCACGACAAATGTAAAATGTTATAATTTAGTGAATTTTATTGCACTGTAGAATGGATAAAATATCTACGTACGGTGGGAACCGAACCCGCAACTTCACGAGTGCTAGAACAGCACTTTGATACTGAGCCATTCTGCACCCTTGTCGTGCTTCTCTTATCCTAACACATTTTATATTAACGAAACTTGAAAGAAACATTACGTTTACAAAAATTTATGTCAGTTGAGTTTTACTGGCAGGAATCACGAAAGTCTTTTTCCTTAGTGCTACAACTACTTTGCTCTCAATGGATATTTTAAACTCTCTCCAATAAGATAAATTAAATTTTCATAGCACGATCTACAGAACGTAGTTTCAGAAATAAACGGTAGATAGAGCTGTCGGCAAGCAGGGATGTCCAGAGCCATCAACCTATCGCGCCAAGGCATTTTCGACGCGAAACTTTATGTTTCCAAGAGTGTACGCATTAACATAATGTGGACAAATTGCCGCTAATATTAATATTAACGACGTGAAAGACAGTCAAAAACATGTTTGCATTTTTTGAAAAACAAAAAAAGCAATATGGCGATTGTCATCTCATAGAGTACATTTATCAAAAGTTTAAAGAAAAAATTGGAGCCGTTATGTAAAAAATGTTTTTGTAATTTTTTAACATATCAAATATTGCAAAAATTTAATTTGAAGGTAAAACCTCTTCAATTGTGTAGTTATAGGAAGAGGCCGAAAAAATTCATACCGTCAAAAAGTTTAGAAAATTCAGAGTAATCGGTGAAAATGGGACCTATGCCACATTTGTGTGTGTTACTCAATTCTTACAAGAAATTTAAAGAAATATTTGAAGCTGCTTTTGAGAAAATTTTGAAAATGTCCGCAGTCCATGTCCGCATACGCCCCGTCGGCAAAAGGAGGCTCACGCCATCGCTGCGGTTCCGGTGGCCACTGGAGCAGCAACAGCGGCGTCGGGAGTACGAGCGGGAAATCGCCCAGATGGAAGCGCACTTCCAGACATTCCATCGTCCTGCCCTCCAGCTCTTCATCTTGCACCGGAGGAACTGGAAAAAGTTCTTCGGGCCAGCAACAATATAGAAGGGAAAGAGCGCTCCGAATGTATGAGCGGCTAATGGAATCGTCCTCTTCCACCGGTGAGTTTTTTTATTTATAATTTCATTGATGTTTTATTTCATTCTTCATTTTTAATGTTATTTTTCTTTATCTATTTCAGAAAGAGAGGAAGAGGAAATTTTAGGAATTTAGTTTATCTTTTCTTTTTTATAAACCATGTTTTAGTCTTTTTATTTGTATTGTAGTGTATAATAAATATGTTATGATGAAATCGCAAAAGTGTACCCTATCACTACCTAAATAGCATTACTATAAAACTAGTTTCCATTTATGTGAAAGTGGGAAATTGAAGACTTATCCCATTCAAATATATTTCCAGGCATGAAAGACTTTTAAATTTTACAATAATTTTGTACATAATCTCATATTAAAAGGGACAGAAATGTAAAACTAATTATTTTCATTTAATAAAGGAAGTAGGAAATAGAAGAAGAAAAATATCACACACTGAATTATAGAATGTTTTATTTAAATCAATAGAAAAGAAAATACAATTAAATGTTAACATTACTAGAAAATTATTTAATTAAACCAATAGTAAAGAAAAAAACACGAATGATAAAATTATAATAAAAAGAAGAAAGTTATAGTTAAAATTTTGAATATTTTTTTAATAATTCCAAATAATTTCCCATACATTTTTACATTTCAGTTGTTCAAAAGGGTACAGTAAAGTTACTTAAGTTTTATTACTTGTATTTATTCCAAAATACATTGAGTGTGATTTTGTTGCAAGAAATTGTTCACCAGTTATTTAATCGATGAGAGTAGTAAAGCTAGAGATCACAAAAATAAATAAATAATAGGTTTTTAGTTATTAAGAAAATAAGTAACAACCTTAGGAATATTATAATGCTAATTCACCTTGTCGGCAAAAAATTACTACATTTATCGTTCAATACACTGGTATAATTCTCAGTATTATATAAAAAAATTCTCTTGGAACTAGTAATTTCGAAAGCAATTCCCTGTGGGAAACACTCCCAGTGATTCGAAACTTTGGAACCTTCTGCTCTCCGCAATATTTTCGTTATACCGAGATGTCCCCCAAAAGTTCCAACATGCGATTCCTTCAATCTTTCAAGTACCCCTTTTCTTGGTAATAATATCTCCATCCTTTTCTGAGAGCCATCTTCATTTTCCGCAACTCATTTAAGAAAACCTTCAGTGATTGAGGCCCATTGCGCCCAGTACGATTTTACTGCTGAAAAACACGATGCTATTTTTGCCAACTCGGTCTCCGTCCCGTCGTTTTCCATTTCTAACATTCTGCAACAAACAATTATGCGTAGTCTTTCTGATCTTTCTGGAGTTCTTTGGGTTGCTATTGTAACACCTCCACTTATCTGCCGGCGAATGGGATCGTCGGAAAATGCGCGGTTAGCGGCCCGGTTATAGCTCAGTCGGTCCTATTCCCTTTACTCGTTTAAAAACTAGCCAATTGTAACAATTTCCTTTGCTCATTTAAAATCAGGTGATGGAAGGAATTGTTAACGAAATTAATGGACATTCAAAATAAACAATTTGATCACTGGTAAAAAGACAAAGATTATTCCTGAACAAACTGTACCAGGGAAGTTACATTAATAAAATAAAAGAAAGGAAAGATTGAATAAAAAGAAAAAATAGAGATTAAAATTAAAGGAAGGCTTACAACTAGAGAAGAGTACAAAATTATTTTATAGTTAGATTTACAGAGTTGTCCCTGAGGACCTTTCTGTGCCTTGGCGCGGCACCGCTTTGACAATACTTCAAAAGTTTTATTGCCCCCAGTTACATTGCCTGAGAGCCTTTCGTGGCAGGTTCGCTCAATAGACTTGGGCGGGCACGGCGGAGCTTGTAGGCGACCTTCTCTGGAATGCCTTCGGGACACACGAACTCACCAACGGCGGCTGCGGCGGTCAGTGGCATCTGGCGGCGTCTGGCGGCCGGCCGTGACGTCAGCAGATGGGTCATCTGGCGGCTGCTTCGACGGAACTTGTAGATAACCGGGGTATATCGCCCCCGATCGCAGGTGCGGAGCTCACAACAATGTCTCCCTCTGAACTATGCGAATCCTCTCAAATACAAATTCAGAAATTGCTAAATCCTGTAGCGAATACGCAATTACAAAGGATTCGCCAATTTACTTATGAAGTGCTTTTTCACTTCCTCTAAAATTCTCACTGAGAATTCCAGTCTATCACCCCAGTGATTTCAACTAAGTGCTTTCAGAGGCGCACTCGCCTCTCCCCGCGAATAGCTCCCACCCCAGAGAAGTCTCTCTACCAACTGAAATTTTGTTTCTCATAAATGCACGAAGTAAACTTTTATCCCCACCCATGCTCCTCATATGTTCTTGCTCCCTACAACGATCGCGTCGCTATTGGCTAAAGGTGATGGCGTGGTACACTAAATTTGGCCAATAAGCTCCGGCAGAGTATAGGAATTTTCCATTCTCTCTGTTTCTGTCGGAACATAATGTCCTTCTCTACCGTCTCGAAAGTAGGCCTCGTCTCTGAAGGGGCTTCCCGGCTACTGAATTATTGCTTTGGGTTTCCCCGATCACGATGACAGGCGTTTCGAAAGTATTCCAAATGGGGCTGCAGCTGGGCGCCTTACAATTTACTCTTTCTTCGGCCATTGGGTGGGGTGTCATGAACATCCGAAATGGGTCAGGGGATCGTGGCTGTTGCAAGAAGAGGGGCTGCGCGCGTGACGCCATATGTTTTTCTTCAGTAAAAAAATTCTTAGGTCTACTTTACTCAATTTAATTTATCTTAATAATTATGTACCGCTACACTATCGAACGTTAATCACAGTGATCCTTAAGTTAGGACTCATCATCTTCTCTTCCGCATTACAGCAGTGTTTGCAGTTTACAGGACATGGTCTTCTGGAGAGAGAGTCGGCATTACGGTGACTATTCTCTCCGACGCTCTAACGCTCTATTGTAAATGTGAAGTATTGCAATATTGCAATTCATCTGTCAGCTTGCCCTTCCAGGATCAGACGCGCATTTTAAAGCTGTATGATCTGTCCTCAAAAGATATTCTCTGCCATAGAGATACTTGTAGAAATACGCAACGGATTTCACCACAGCAAGAAGTTCTCTTCGGGTTACACAATTGTTGCGTTTTGGTTTTGTACTTTTGTACCAGCAATAATTCACCTCAATGCCAAAGTTACTTCAATTATATATTTTCCTTCAATTATTCCTTTCCTATATCAATATCAATTATATATTTTCCTTGAGGTAATGGATAGCTCAATGTAGGGGCTTTTAGCATTGCGCTTTTAAGATTTTCGAAACCGCACTGATAATCTTGATCCCATTGAAACAACCGTGTTTCTTCTGTCAGCTGAGACAACTATTAATGTTCATCATTCTCACAGGTATTGTTCTATTCACTCTGACCAGTTCTTGGGCTACTAGAATTCTTCAGCCAATACCTTCGTCATGATTTCTGTGTTCCAGGATAGCATTCTCTACAGCTGGAACGTCGCTCTCAGAGCTCGCTTCTACAAACGTCTCACTATGCACCGTCAAGATCACGTCGTTAGCCGTAATCACATTCACAATAATGCTATTACGCGAATGCAACACCACCTCCACTTCGTTGAGTCTCAGTACAAAATTTGAAATTCACTCGGGCAGCGTTTCCCAACGATGCGCTCTTTGCCTTGGCGCGCGGGAAGGGCGTCTTCCTCTACGACTGTGTGAATTGCATGTCGAAACTGGAAGCAACGTCTTTGTCCCCACGCGAGGTCTTTTTCAGTCAGTTCACAATCACACCGATCTCGGACGCGGAGTACACTCACGCGTTGGCGCTTTTTCCATTCAAAATTAAGGTGAGAATGCCATTTGTATTTGAAAATCGACGTGTTGCTGCTCACCGACATTTTTTAAACTTTTAGAAATTTGTGTATGGAGTTACACGATCTCCAATCCGCCTTCTACTACACCGCTCCCGCGCTCTCGTGGAACGCCATGTTAAAAATAACTGGCGTCGTGCTTGAGCCACAAGCACAGATGTTGAAATGGTTCTCTTTATCGAAAAAGGTATCCGGGGAGGTATTGTGCAGGTGGTAGGGCGCCACGCTGCGGCGAACCATGCACACCTAGAGGATACCTTTAAACTATCTTATAAGGAATCTTATCTCTCCTATTTGGATACAAATAATCTTTATAGCTATAGTATGCGACATCCACTACCCAGGATGGTTTAAATGGTTGGTGGATACTGAATTTTGCATTTTCGACCTGAAGCAGGCGACCGCCCAGGACCTGAAGCAGTCGATCTCGACTGTCCAGACGAGATTCACGATCAATTGAGTGACTTGCCGCATTGTCCGGAGACCCGGGTGCCCCCGACACGAAAAGCAGGCACGTCAAGTTATCAGCGACGCTTTTGCTAAACGAAGCTATGACATTCACATTCGAAATTTAATTCAGGCACTGGAGTAGGGGGGTACACCTCACCTAAATTCACCGTATCCTCTCTTTCGACCAGAGTCCTTGTCGTGCCAACTACATGGACCTCAACAATTCACGTTGACAGCGCGTCTTCTGATTTTGAAGATACATTTTTTAAACTTATGAATAATTCCGTTTACGGGAAGTCGATGGGGGACGTGCGCAATCATCGTCCCATTTATCTCGTGAACAGATAGTGGGGTAAGTGTGGAGCCGTGCCTTCATGTTATCGAAGCTTGCATGTATGTGTACAGCTTATAGAAATTGGTGTCATGGAAAAGGAAAATGACAAAAAAGGCACAAATAAAGCAGAAGGCACAAAACAGTCAGAATGTCAAAAGGCATCAGAAACTAAAATAGGCAAAATGAAAATTTACTAAAACAACTCCAGAAAAACAATTAAGTGATTCCTACTGTTAAAAGACAAAATAGCAACAATAATAAAAAGACATTTAGCCAAACTTCTGATCTCTTCTTATTATATATTACACAAAATTCAAAATAGGAAATAAAAATAGGTACATTTTTTTGCAGTTTCCAAATTTGATTACAAATCAAAGAACCAGCCGTCATGGCAGACTCTTGGCCTGGCGTGCCAATTGTGATAAAACATGTCTGTACTCTGTGAAAGAGGAAGCGCAAGAGAGAAAGAAAATATAAATAAATGCTTTATTAACTGCAATATTTTTTCAAGAAACTTTTCCTCTCATGCATGTACAAATAAGTTTCTTTCGTTTCGTAAAGGTAGCTATTTGAGAGCGTATGCTAAAGAATTTAAATCGGATTGGAGTGCTATTAAGAGGAAACTGCTGTGCCACGCAGCTTCCGAACAGTTATTTCCCGATTTCTGTGAGTATATGTAGAAGAGAAAACATATGGCAAACAGGCAAGAAAATTGATGCTCTCCTGGAAAACATTAAGAACATACCTACGCCAGATGATTTTTAAGGTGAGAATTGGTATTGTGACGTCGTGGGATCGCAACAGCAATCACACACACGAGCTCAGATATTTACAAGGTTTATTAAGAAATAGTATCTAGAAATAAATAGTTTAAACATTTACTTACAGCTCTGATAGTCCCGTTTCTCTGATCGCCGGGGCGATCCATATCCGATTGAAGATCGGCGTGAGTTGTCATCCTCGCCACTCCTCAACAGAGCACGCACACAGCATATCTCTACGTGACCGCAGTCACACGTGTAGCATCTGACCCAGAACGGCTTCCCACAACATGGATTGCCCCACGAGCATAGCTCGCCACCGCCCCGCCACGGGCGCCAGTTTTGTGTGTTCGCAAGAGGTTTTCACACAAGTCAAAATCCACCAAAGCTTTTATTCGGCTTAGCCGAAGGTTTGTGCGTTTGCAGTTGTGTTGTAGTTCGCACGCATTTCGCATTTTACTACTATGTGTAAGTGGCTGGTGTTGGTTTGCGTCGGACGTCAGTCAATAAACAAATCGGCTTTTGTGTTGTACGACGCCCTCAAAATATAAGAGGGGAGTGCCCGTCGTCTTTGTTCTATAGTGAGGACGTGCCTAGCTAATTGTTTTAGCGTTGCCGGAGCTTCGTTGGTTTGAAAGGCTAGATAGGCTTCGTTAAAGGAACGCCGTCTCAAGCATTGAGTGAAGGACTCGATGTCAAGTTCCTCCCTCGGTACTTTCAACCGTTTCCGAAACGGAGGGCGTGCTATGAACCGTAGAACTTTGTTTTGTACTATCTCAAGTGTATCCTTGTTCTTCTGTGCTGTGATCCACCACATCACCGTAGCGCAGGTGGCCACAGGCCGGCATCACGTTTTATAAAGTGGCAAGCGAAGCACGGGGTGTGTAGGTTCCCTCAAAAGAGGTTGTAAGAGTCGAACTGTTTGCAGTAATTTTGATTGAATTCGGCGACGGTAAATGCTAGCGCATCCTTTGATCAAATGTAACGTCTAACTTGCCCATGTCATTTTTTTGTGTTCCAAGTGTAATTTGTTTTGGTGGTGTAAAACGTTTGGTGTATTTGTATTTGCGGCTGGTGTAACAGATTGCCTGCTGTTCCTGTGTGCTTTGTTCCGCCCACTTCAGCGTCAGATTCATCTGTTTTTGAAGTATTTTCAATTTGTGATCTAGGTTTATTCCTTTTCCTCAGACGGTTATGTCGTCAGCGTAAAGGAAAAGCCGTATTCGTGGTACATATGGGATGTCATTGACATACAGCGAGAACAGTAGCGGAGAGAGGACGAACCCCTAAGGGACTCCGGCCGCAATCCTCCACTTTGAGGATCTCACTTTGCCCACATTGGCCACGAATGCGCGGTTAGTGAGGAAAGACTTAACCATTTCGGTTACGTGTTGTGGAAGGCAGCGCCGAAGTTTTGTGAGTTTACTGTGTGGCACTTTGTCAAAGGCTTGCACCATGTCGAGATAAATGACAGGTACATCCTGTGTAAGTAACAGATCAGCGGAAATCTGCTGAGCCATACAAAGTGCTTGTAGTGAAGCGGAATGGCCCTGTCAGAAGGTAAACTGTTCATCTCGGATGAGGTTCCGCGAGAAAGCAGTTGGCAGAATTCGCGCGAGTAGAAGCCTCTCGAATAACTTTCTCATATCAGAAAGGAGACCCTTACCTGGATTCGGAAGCATGGAGATACTGACGAATTTACAATTTTATGGAACCGCTATGTACTACAGCTGTTGTAGATTCCCGTAAGCTCCATGTTTATGACCGGTACGGCCTCGTTAAGAACGGAAGAACCGATTCGGTCAGGTCCCGGCGTCTTGTGTAAGTGTGTTGACGCTGTCGTCCGTTTCCTCATCTACCGCCTCTGTAGTGTTGTTAACAAACTTCTCTTCAAGTATGTCGGCAAAGAATTCTGCCTTGGCGTGATCTGAGAAGAGGTGTGTTTGTTTACCTTCCGCATTGCCGTGGCCGCGTATGGCGGTTGCAGTATTAGGTATTGACCTGAACGGTTTTTAAAGTTTGAAAAAAACGTTTCGAAAATGATCAGCTCCGATCTCTCTCAACCGCATTCCCCACTTAGCTGCGTGATGGTTTGCGAGCGCCGTTTTCAGGCGTTTTCGCATTCCCATAGCTGTGTTCTAAGCGCAGGGCTCCTAAACTGCTGTCAAAGTGTCCTATCCTTGGGTTTTTTACTCAGAAGCTCTTTGACAATTTAAAGAAGTGTATGTGAGCCCTCTTCGGGCGGGTGCTAGAAAACCGGCGGCGACTGTTTGTATATGTTTTGTGAATGTGTGAAAGCTCGCGTTTATATATTCTGGCGAATCCATTGTCAGCGAAGTTGTGCTTGTTTGTGTAGTGCTGCGAGTTGATTGCGAAACTTATCCCAGTCAGTGGGTTGTGGGACCCACTGCCCAGAGCCGCTACCTACTGCGAAGATAATGGAAACGTGATCGGAAAGGGAGAGGGGAATGGGTTTGGGAGTAGAGACTCGAATATTCCCTTATGTGAGTACCACATCAAGGATTTCGGGTCGGAGGCGTGGGTCAGAGGGGAAGCGGGAAGGTGTGGAGGGCGGGATGAGTGTCACAGTGTTGTGTGCTTGCGGGAAACTTGTGAATACGTTTCCGTTGCTGTTTGTTGTGTTACATCTCTGTTCCTCGCACTTGACGTTCAGGTCGTCCGACCTAATCGTGCGAGGTGCTAGGAAGAACACAGTGGCCAATTCGTCCTCTATGAGAGGACGATTTATTGCGAAGTATGTTGACACCAGTGCAACTTTGCATTGTGTTTACAACCTCGCCTCGTGTTTACAACAATCGCTTCAAGCCTCGCGAGGCCAGGTAAAGCTGTCAGGCGATGGGACAACGAGCGACGTACGATATCCGCTACACCGCTTCCGGGATGATGAGCTTCGCGGTCGGTACGGTAGGTAGTCATGTCATTTAGCTCCAGGTCGTCGGCGCTTGTGAGTTTTGTTTCCTACAATAAAAGAGCATCTATACGATGTCTACTACAGAAAAACTCGATAATGTATCGATCTCCTGAGTCCGTCTAACCGGAACGGCCGTTGACGTTCCAGGTAACTAACGCGAGAGGGCGGTTCTCATGTTTCCTTGCGCTCGGTGTTCAGCCATTGCGGGCTACCGCTTTCGCGAAGGTAGTGCTCTTATCTGCCTTGCGTGCGGGCTTTTCTTTCTGTGGCTCCGGCTTAGCACGTTCGCCCTGCTTTGGCTCAACATTTTGGCTCTTGACTGTTAAGGCTTTGTGGGCCTTACAACTGGCGTAGTTTGCAGAGTGATTGGGGGCCTAAATGGGCCGTTTGAATGGCAGGGCAAATCCTCGTGATAGATGGCAATGGCAAATCCTCGTGATAGATGGCGCCTGGGATTTCGCCCGGCGTCGTGTGACCGAAGCTGCGGCGGAAGCATCTGCTGCGGGGTGTTGGAGGCCTTGGGCGCTATCGACACCGAGACGCCGTTGCT